GCAGTACAGCACCTGGACAATCCCTTTACAGAAATCATGCTTCCTCCCCCCTGACAGCACCCATATCCACATAAATAAATATGGGGCTATTTAATTATTTTAATCCTTGCATAATTTATTTTTCAATCTCCTATTGTTGAGTATGTATGAAGTTTTCAAATTTCTGCTGTTCCAAACCGTGAATAGCCTCAAGCATATAGTTTTGCAGACTTATCATGTCCTTACAGTAGAATTATTATTTCCAAGACTGTGCTCATTAAGAAAATTGAAACACTTTCAGATTTCCCTTCATTTCAGTTGTACATATTTATGTAACTATCCATTTTTCCATGTTTGCCAGCATGAAAAATTTAATAATTAAGACCCATTCATGATTTAACTTCCATTTTGCTATTCCCGAAGTTAAACATCTTTTTCTGTATTTATTGCCATTTCCAATTCCTCTTTTGTGAAAGATCCATTCCTATCCTTTGTCCTTGTTTTGTACTGTGGTGTTCATCTCTGGCTATAATATTTGTAAGAGTTTTTCTTTTCTTTTTAATAATAAAGTAGGAATATATAACTGCTTACTTTCATATGTGTTGCAATAATTTCCCAGTTTTGCATATTAATAACTTAATTTATAATCTTTTCCTATTTAAATACTTTGCATAAATAATAATTTACTTTTCCAGGTTGTCTCTTCCTTGTTTCCAAATTTTATGCTATCTTTAGATGGGCCATCTCCACCCCAAGATAATATTAAAGTTTCTTTCAGTAAATTATGTTTTCTTTCTATACAAATATTTCAAAAGAAGGCCAATAGCTGCATGTTCAATATGGTAGCCACTATTCACATGTAGATTTTGCATTAAAATTAAAACAAAATAAAATTTGCAATGGATTCCTCAATTGCACTAACCATAGTTCAGGTGCTCATGTATAGGTAGTTCTATCATTTTGGACAGTGCAGATATAGATCATGTCCATCCTCATAGACTCTTTGTTGGGAAGTGCTTCACAAATGTTAATATGCATGGTAATCACCAAGGCATGTGTTAAAAACATCTCCTGACTCAGATGGTCTGGAGAGAAAAGACCTGAACTTCACATATTAAAAAGCCCCCAAATGATGCGACGACTTCTGGCATCACCTACAGTAACGAGTGTCTAGATTTATTTTTATGCAAGGAGTTACAAAATTCTTTATGCATGTATGTACACCCATCTCTGCTTATTTAATTGTATTATTTATTGATGTGCAATGGTATATGTATCATGTGCCAAATACCCATATATGCGTTTCCTGGACTTTCTGACCTCTTTTATTTACTCATAGCCAATTTGTTCACCTCTAGTTTTTATTTTGCTGTAGAATTTAATTTTAAAAAAGATAATTTTTTTATGATCAGTATGTAGGTATTTCTGAACTTCCTACTTGAACAGGCCATGCCATCAGTTAAGATCTGCAATCATACATTCATTTAACAAATCCCTGTCACTGGCTGGATGCAATCAATATGCTAGAGCCCTGGGAATAGAAAGAAAGTGTCCCATTCTTTCAGGATTCCCAGGCCAGCATACTTGGAGAATGAAATAGGCATGTTTGGCAGAACATGAAAAAAAAAAATCTTATGACCCTATTTTTTAATCAGTGGGTTATTTATTAATGGGTATTTTATAACACAGAGAACAACCATCTAGGTTGGACTGTGCTAATTTGGGACAAACTACCACGATAAAGAGAGTCTTGATTTTTGAAACTTGAGTGAAAATTATCCAATCGAAGAAGGAAGATGGTTTATTGGAGTGAGAGTGTCTGACTGGCTAGAACTTGCAGATACTTTTTAAACATATTTATATTGTTTTGAGTACACAGATAAACACATGTGTTATAAATATAAGATCTCCTGAAATCTTCACTTGAGACTATGTGCTGGACAAAACGAAGGAAGGATGCCTGGGTCAATTCATATGTTTCCTGTTTGGGGAACATTCCTGTTACTGCCAGGCTGCTCCCTTGACAGTGTACATGTAGTCTTGTGGATCTTATTAGACAATAAATCTTTTCTTTCTCACAGTCACTCAGCATCCTGGATCCTGAAGCACCGTATCCTGATCTGCTCCTCAATAATCCCTAAGTCATGTGTACAGCCTCTGTTGACATGTACATTGTTGTATAGGCGAAAGTCTTAAGGAAGATATGGTTTTCATTCTACCAAGACTTTCATTTTGTGCTGTTACCAGAATGCCTAAAATCTTGATTGGATGAGAAGGAGATTAGCTTTTTTCCCTAGTGGAATAATTTCATTATAGCAGAGGCGTCATCTCTTTAAGCTAAATGTGGAAAAAATAATAGAAAGATTACAGATCATGGGAAAAACTAGAAAGGCTTTGTTATAAATGATGACATGGCTTCAGAGAATACATCTTGATATATTTGAATAAACCCCTTAAGTTTAGGTAACTAGGTTGCTCAATCCAATTCCACTTTTCTCATTTGCATCATTTTTATACAAAAAGGACTCCCCCCCACCATCTGGCTGATTTACAAATTAGGAAGCACTTTCAGGGCTCTGCCTCTCCTTGTCTATCTGAGGTCACAGAAGGGACCTCTTGAACTCAGTAACATCAACACTGTTGGTCGGTATAGGCTAGAACGGAAAAAGCCAAACTCCACAGTGACTTAACAAAAGAAACAAGTCATAGACATTTTAATGACTGGCTTCCCATGGCATCAGAAACATCTATGGATTTTATAAAGTTGTTCAAGAAGGAAACCAACATAGCTATGATCTGAGCTTTGTTCATCTCTCTATACCTTTATTCTTAATCTAAGGATTTTCAAATGTTTATTTTGTCCTATGGCTTTTTTTTCCCTCTGGATACTATTGAAATGACTAGAGACGAATTCTACATTTGGTTCTAAGATTATTTGAAAGTATATATCCTTTTCTGTTTCATTTAGGGAGACCTAAACCAGCAATTCTGGGGCTCTTTTAGACATCAACTCCCAAAAGTGCCATGAACTCCTATACATGAATATGTTTCCACAAAAGAGTTGTCTGACCAACAGACACTGGAAATGGAGCGTGTGCAACTCAGAATATGGGGCTGATAAAATGTGATGCTTCCCGAAACCATTCTGTGAAAAGAATAAATGAAAGGAAGGATGGAAGGAAACATAATAACCATAAAATTACCTAAAGCTGAAAATATAAATGTAAAGTAAAGAACCACACATAATTATGAATACACTCTCCTTATTCTTTTGGGATAAAAATACTTCTAAACTCTTGGAATTTTTGTGGTAAAAAGTGGTGGGTTCTTTTTATAGTTAACAACCATATGTCAGTCTCTCCTCATTTTATTTGAAATCATCCCGGTGATGAAATCAAGGTGACTGAGAGCCAGGTGTTGGCCAAAGGTGGTGAGCTGCACAGTCATCCCAGACGCCTTGGCTGCTAATCCCAATGAGCTAATGAATTCAGCAAATTTATCTGGCTATTATTTTTCTCATATGTGGAAATGCACTTTACACTAGTGTCTATTCAAGCTTTCTATAGTTCAAGAATATTACCCTGCTCAAACCTGATAGAACTATCAGTCATGATAAGGCATTTCCACTTCCTAAACTGTTGGTCATATAGTTTCCTCAGAAAGAACTTTTTCTGCTTTTGGTCATGGGCTGAAAGGCAACTTTGATGAGAACACGTGACTACTAAAAGTAAGGATACATTACTACCCCTCTTGATCTTGGTGTGGTGGCTGTTACTAGTTTCTAAGTGCTGTTTGAGGCACTTTTCTATAATGTGCTATGTTCTTAGAGTCCTCACAGGACAGAGAGGAAGAGAGGGAGAGGGGATGAGGGGAGAGAGAGAGGAAGACAGAAAGAGAGATGTGACCTCTTCTCTTTGCCAGTTACACTTCCCTCCCTTTGTTTCCTCTGTCTGATCCTCCAGAGAGCATTTAACAGATGGTCTCTTCCAACCAAAAAAGTAGATACACAAAGACCAGAAAATAAATGACATATATGTTTCACTTTAGGAATATTCAGACACGTGCAAACTGAGTCTTACAGTAATGTAATGTGTTGCATTTATTTTCCCCCAGAGACTTTCTAGTTCAAAAAAACCCCTCAAAATTTGCAAATCATAGTACAGTCCCAGATGGCATTTAAAAATCAGGAAGGTGAACTTAAGTTGATTATTTTTTATAGTTGGTTGATGCATGAAAAATGACTTTACATTCAGGACACATTTTTCTAAGAAACTAGTTATGAATTTAGATGCTTAGGATAACCCTTGGGAAAAATCAGCTTGCGAGTGAAGGTAATTTACAATAAGAGTTATTGGAAAAGAATGTGAGGGGAAAAAGTCTCCAGGTCACTGTTGAATAATAAGCTAATTCACTATTGAATAATAAACTCTTTTTTTCCTCTCAAAACTGATATTTTAGCCAAATTTAGACGTAAGCTTATTGCTTGTGGTTGCTTTTACCAGAGTACCGATTTATATGTAAAAACATCTACATTACATTTCATTACACTTTTAACCTGGAAGAAAAGCAAGTTCACTAAAAATATAGAGCTTGATATGTGTATGTGTGCATTTATACACATGTATTTTGGTATTTGTGTATGTGTCTATTATATAACATGGTATACATGCCTATTTCAGTAGGATATTAGGAACAGAATGAGGCGAATCCTCAGAAAATGCAGAAAATAGAATGACTTTAATTTCAACAGTGAGTCTACAGGAGTTAGTGACACACATGCCACAGTCAATTCACACCGTATTTCCATTAAACAAAACACAACATGCACTGTGGGTGAGACCTTTTATTTGACATACGTGTGCCCTGCGAGTGTTCTTTCTGAGCGGGCTAGTTTTGTTCTCAGGCCAGGGAGCAGGTGGCACGAAGCTGTTTTGATGAGGTTAAAAGGCTCCTCCCCTCTTTTCCCGAGCAGCAGCCTGAAGTACGTCAGCAGTAATTGTGTGCCTGGCTTCGCTGTGCAGGGAGGGTGGAGGCAAAATTGATATCAAATAAGGGTATCAAACTGAGACCTGGATGTTCCGTTTAAGTTGTTGCTCATTTTCATTCTCCATGCCAGGGGGTGAAAAGCTTTTAACTTCAGCATCCTCTGTAATGAGAACATTTATTTTTCATGGATTTATATTTTTCTTCTCCATAAAGATTGAATTTGTGTTGTACTAGATATAAACGAAGGGGTTTCTTTATCCTCTTTTCATTTTACTATGTACTAGTCAGGCTTTAGTTCAGATAGAAAGGAGGGGTCCTGCTGCCTAGGTGGGAGGCCTTTACCAAGCATGGGAGGCCCCAGGGAGCCGAAATCCGAAGTAGAACGATGCTGCTTTCGGGAGTCTTGTGAGCTCTTCAGCTGCTTCTCTCTTTTCCAATGGGCCTAGGGAACAGGAACTATCCAAGGTGCTAGAATGCTGGCAGCTTTGCTGTTCAATGCAGACGGATTGCACACACAGAGAAGAAAGATTACTGCTTATTTCAGAAGGTAGGTTCTTTGTTTCAGAATCCCTGATTAATCAGCAGCATCAACAGACTGAGGCAGCTGGAGAGGAGAGAGAAGCAGGAAGGGAGGGAGTCAGGGGCAGGGAGGGAGGAGAGAGAGGGGGAGAGAGAGGGAGAGTGCTGGTCGTGACGGGGGAGGGACGATGCCACAGCTAGGCTGCTCCAAACCTGCTGTATGTGAGTGGCAATGAGAAAGAGCATCTTTTTGGCTGAAAGGAGGCATTTAGAGAGGATGTTTCTGATTTTTCGCTTTCATTTATTTTTGTCTTCACAGAATATAATCAAATGAGGCACCTTAGTCAGCCCGGGTGATTGCTTCGAGTCTTGTAATAATTTGTGTAGCAAAGTGGGTAAAATCATTCAATTTCTTCCCCGCTGGACCTGGAAGGAGAGGGGCTGTGTGTTCATCCCCACCCATTAGCTATGCCCTCTTTTCTCTGAATGTCGATTTAAGGAAGCAGGCACCTGCCTTTTGCCACTGCATCTTTCTAGCAAACTTTAAAGGCCATTTTATCTGATAGGAAGACTATCAAGAATGCTCTGATCTCTAGTGATGAAGAATCTGGGAGTGGACCCTTTCCCCATCCAGATAAAATGCACTTTAACTGAAGAAAAACGGAGCTGAACTGCAAGTCCATTTCTTATGGTGCTGGATTACTCCTGCAGAACTGCCCTGAGATCAGCCGCGAGGGAGGGCTTTGACAGACACAAGTCACCTTCTGATTCTTGCACTTAGCCCTCCCCGGGGACTTAAATTTTGGTACGTATATCATTTTTCAGATTCTCTAAGCATGCAAATCGAATCTTGCACTAAGCAGATCAAGCAATCTGGTTATGAAATGGCATCTATTTTATCTAGGGATACTTAATGCTGAAGTTTGCATGTCTTATTAGGTGGAGCAGAAATAAAGCCACAGCTAAGGTATCCAGGCTTTAATGAGCCTCAGGCTGTTTCCGTACCCTCTCGCCTACTTAGTTATATTGCCACGGAAATGGTTAAACTGGATTTTCATTAGTAAAATAAGCCATGATGAATTATTAAAAGCATTGAAAATATTTTCCAGGGTATTAATTGGCAGTCACGTTGTGCATGCTAGCTATTTATCAGCTATTCCATACCATAAATATTTAACAACAGTTTCTCAGCACATTTGTGTCAGCCCTAGTTTACATTCTCACAAGAAAAAAAAGTACAGATCCAAAAAAAGAACCCCAAACTATCAGACATGCACCACGACTGATTAGACATAAATCTTTTTGAGAAGCATGTATTTTAATACCACCCAGTATCAGGAGGATTTTGTTAGTCTCATCACAATAAATATTTTTTATAGAACTATAAGGAGACCTGTTTTATTTGGGACATGTTTATTTTATTGGGGTGTCCCCATTCTGGTTTCCCCAACTTCTGTCAATATTTTAAGTACAAGAAATGTGGATATTCCCTACTTGGAAGAACTACTATATGAAATAATATTATTCATTCTCATAGAACAATATTGTGTTGGTACCGTAAACCTGCATTTAAAAAAAATATTCCCAAAATAAGGGAATCCAGTTGAAGAGGTAACGCGATGTAGTTTTGGTCATTTTCCTCTTAAGGAATTTATAACCAAGTAGTGTAGAGTCATGACTGTAGAAAAAGAGTGCAAATTACTCCTCTCCCAATTCTTCACATGTTAAACAACATTCCAGCTTATATTCTATATTGTCCAGTGGCAAACAAATTAATATGAGGAAATGTGAGGCACCAATGCCGAAATGATTTTATTTTTCTGTGAAAAGTGCAACATATGTTTGCCAACTCAGCAAAGAAGGGGACTTTGTGAAAGACATTGGCAGTTTAGAAAATCAGAGAAAACAGACCTAATAAAAACTATTACAACTTCAGAAGGAGCTTTAGAGAAACCCAAAAACTGGAGGCATCTGTAAAGTTTGGAAAGAAAAGTGTAAAAGTCCTAGAGACAAGAAGGCTGACTATTGTTTAAAAAATAATTAAGTCATGGACTTCCAATTCAGTTATATGGTATCCATTGCAGTTCCAGTCAGTAATTTCTCTTACTGATTATATCTACTTTGTGAATACTGCCTTGCAAGCATCTGGAAACATTTGGCCAAAGGCTTAAAGAGTCAGCCATTGACATTTTGCACGAGTCCTTAATATTAGTGGAAATGTGCAATCTCTTTAGACCATGGGCAAATAACACCATGACAACCTCTGGAAGTTGGGGGAAATATTCAGTTTACGATGCTAGTACATCAACAGGATCTATGCCCATTTTACCCACTTTGAAAAGGGAGATAATGGAGAAAAACTCAGAACAAAGTAATCTGCTTTTTGAGAAAAAAGCAATCAGTGTCTTTGTAGTCACTTTGACAAGCTCTCTTGCTTTTAACTCTAACATTTCCCATTTTGGGCAGAACAGCTGCATTTTGATGACAGTGAAAATGAGAAAATGAGTGTGACCATTTGTGGGGTTGAGGGTACGATTTCAAGCATAATCAAAGTGAAATTATATAGGACTTATTTTTGACAGATTATAAGATTTTATCAGAAAAACAATGTTGACATGGCTTATGTGGGCTATGGATTATGAGCAGGCAATCTACTATGTTGATTTGGTTCTATGTGAAGTCAGCAAATTTTAGAAATTAATTTGCATACACAAATTTTACATATGTATATGAAGCCTGATTATTTAAACACTTGTGTTTTCAAATTGGTCTGAGAACATGCAAAAAATGTAAAAGATCTTTTTCTCCTGATGAACAACAAAATATAGTCAAGACTGCCTTGGGAAACTTCTATTTGAATAAGTCGATACTACTGGTCAAAATAGGATTCTCTTTCTGGAGAAAGATGCAATGATTGCAGTGGGAGGGAAAATCAAATTTTAATAACTCAAGTTCTAATAACTTCCTCACAGCATTGAGGCAGGTGTGTCTTGCAAACCTCAGAATAAACAGGGGTTGAGACTTGAAAACTTTCCCATATGCATATACAATGAAATACATAAATGTGAAATGAAGGTACAATGTCTAGGCTTTCCAACAGGAAATTTATTCCCTTGTCTGTATTTTGTTTTTCCCATCTAACACGAATAGCATTATAATAATAGCACAAAATAAGCTTTACCTTATGCTAGCTATAAAATTACCTTATGGTGTTAACTGTGACCTACAATTTAAGAAACTTATAGAACTTCAAGAACTGAGGAGTAGCTCTCTCCTAAACAAGTGCTTTTTCTTCTACTTCATAGATATGAAAAATATTTGGATTAATAGAGTGTTCACAATTTTGTATCTTAGAAAACCAAAGTTTCAGATGAACAATAGTTCCATTTCTGAAATTCTAAGTAGCCACTTTAAGAAGAGAATAAAAAAACCACCACTATGAGGCTCAGTGGACTAATTCACTCAGATGGTACTGGAACACCAAAGCCCTGCCTTCAGTAAACGATCTTTCAGGTGGTAAATGATCCTTATGAGGGCTTTGCCCAAGAAATCGGTGCACACCTCCACCTGAGCCAGTCCTTATGGGCCCAGAGTGGATGATGTTACAATGCATGAAGTAATAATAAAGGAGTAATTTGTTCTGAATTTTAAGAAAAGGAAAGAGAAATATTTTAATGTGTATGAGGAGATGGCATGCCTAATATTTCTCTAACCCTTTTTGTACATCTTTTCTTCAACAATGACCTGTCATTAATCAAAAACCCACTATGTACTATGGGGGGAACCCAAATTTGACATCAGGTTGTGCCACATTAGATATCCTCTGATAACCTGAAGCCACACAAAATTGATGCCTGAATTTACAAAGGCAATAGCCCTTTCAAATGTATGATCTTAAACTTTTTGCATACATTTATTTCTAAAAAAAGGGGCCCACCTTTTTTTTTTTAACTTGAACACTAAAAGTCATGTACTTTCTCAGCTTGTTGAATTCCTTGGATGCAAGCAGTGGCTACAAAAAGAGAAAAAGGGAGTGAATTTTTTATGTTTTTATGGATTCCATTTGGATATCTTACGTAAGATAAATATTAGGCATGCCATCTCCTCATACAGGAGTATATGTAGCATATAGTTTTACTTCAGTGGCAACATTGTAAAGAAACATAATGTTACTTTCAGCTCTAGGCTTATCATTAATAAGGTATAGTTATGGTTTTACACAAAAGAAAATTAAAAAATGGTTAATTCAATAAAAAGTGAAATTTTTAGTGTTTTAAATATGATCTGAATCACACTGGCATAAGTTAGTATGTATTAGCTTATAAGACTGAAATTTCAAATTTCAGAAAGTGTCACAATATTACACAAAGTAACCTTTGTGAAGGGTGTGGTCAATAGGAAATAAGTAACAAATGTGAAAGAATAAAATAAAGCAGAGCAACTAACCGTCCAGTTGTATTTAAGCCAATGTACGTAGCTTTTATTAGAATGCCAATGATTCTAAATACAGTAATTCAAAAGTTAAACAAAAGGAGTTTCTTATCAATATAGAGTATAACTGTGGAAGAAAGGTGTAAAGTGATGGTGTGGTTATCTGCGATTTGTATGGGGATTCTGAGCTCAGTACTTTTAGCTGTTTTCCCAGGAAAGACCCTGACACAAATTTTAAATATTAGCCATAACCTCCAAGAAAAAGAACATAGACAAACACACACATATCTTGCACTATTTGAATCAATGCTATGCATTCCAACTAAATGCCTTGTGGATAAATGCCTCAGATGCCAGCTTTCAACCAGTTCTCAGGGCATTGGGGTTTGGGAGAGGAGAGAGGCTAAAATGTCTAATTTGTTGTGAGCAAAAATGGCTGCAGAAGCATACTACTTCAAATAAAAGGGCTGTTCAGAGAAATGTTAAAGTTCCCCTCAAGGTCACCCACTCTGCTGTCACAAAGATCCCATACAATAATGTGAGGTCTAATAAGATAGACTCTTTTATTTATTGTGATATATCTAAAGATGCAATCTGAAGAATAGAGGCTCATTTCCTTCTTAACTAGGTCTTCTAAAATGCTGACAATAGGAATTAGGTGCTCCAGACAAGCCTTTATAAAATACTTATATAAAAGATTGTTGTTCAGACACCAGAAAAAAACTTGATTTAATATCCAACAGTCAAAAAGAAGTCATATTTTTTATGGTATAGAACATACCTTATGCATTACAGATCCTAGCCATAAAATGAACTTTTGGAAGACAAACAGATTTGTGATCATTGTTGTCTGTGGTTTCTCACTTCATGGAAATTGTAGCAGTTATAATGTGGACATTTAATATAAGGTTCCCTTTTCTTTAGTGAGGCCATGAACTGTTCATTCATAGTCTAGTTGCCTGAAAAACACCATTTGGCCTGAAAGAGTGGAGTCCAAGTGTTTGAGGAAGATGATGAGCTTCATGGCTCATATGTCCCAAAGCCCTTATTTTCCAAATGTGGAAAATGCAGCTGAATGAATGACTGTTTGGTCTATATGCATTTGGTTAGTGGGCCAGTTTGTTAACAGATTTGGGGGTTTCCATTTTCTCATCTGTGAGTAAGAAAGTTGACTGCACTAGCAATCTATTCACCCATGTTTCAAAGTTAAAATATATTTACCAAGGAATTATTACTGAACATAATGTTGGCCACAGTTAAGAACTGTGACAACTATCTGATACTAGAGTTAGTGACTAATAATTATGGTCATGTTAACTGAACACTTACATGCATTTTCTAACTGAATCTTACAATACTGCAAGGAAATGCATTTTGAGAATATGGAAATTGAAACTTGAAGAGGTTAATTAAACTGCACAAATCAGAGATCTAGATGGGCTTTCATTGGGATTCTCAGGCCATACGGCTCCACTCAAGTATTCTCCTCAGGACTGAATCCTTATCACCCACCCCCATTACAACTACCTTTTTACATGTGGACAAGAAAGCAGAAAAGTATGATCTTTAAACATTGGTAGAATCCAAGTCCATTTTTTAGTTTTAGTTTTAGTTTTGAAAACTAGGTAGAATTGCTGAAAAGTATTTCTTGTTCAACCTCAAAAATGGTGACAGTACATCATAACAAACTGGTGAATGCCACCCCTGCTACCTCGATCAGCACCTTGTCACACTGCACTGCAGTTTGTATTTATTGTGCTCTTATGCTGTCATGTGAACACCTAGAAGGACACAATTCTGCCTTTATCAATGTCTTGTTCATTAAAGGTGCTCAAGAAACATTTGAATAATTGAATGTTTATTGAATCAAATACTTCTCTAGAACTAGAGGACATAAGCATATTCATAAACATCCATCCAGTTTTCATTACTCTCAAGTTTTACTGGGTTTTATGGTTGATTTTCATCCCCCAAATTTTCATCTCAAAGGAAAAATCTTATAATATACCTTTTCTTACTATAAATATTTTATGATATTATTATTTAATATTTTCTCAGAATAGACATGAATTAACCTCCAGCCAAAGGCCTTATAGGAAGATAATTTCCAGAGGTACACAATTAACCTTGTTAATATTGGGAATATATAAAACTGTAGAAAGAATCACTGATGTCATTTAGATGGGAGGAAAACTTAAGGAAAGGCATAAAAACCTTTGGGTAATGCCTTGCACAATGGAAAATATCAATTTTGCTCGAGGGCAGAGTGGGAGTGATCATCTTGTATCCTGAGGCTTTATTTCTAGAATCCTTGTAATACTGACTTGACTTGCTTAACTATGGTAAAATTAATTGTCAAAAAGTTATGCAGATCTTTTTTTGGTATCTAGGCACATCTAGCTGAAGTCTAAAAGTGAATTCCCAGTAACGGTAGGTAATGCTTTAGCTCTCTGAAAATCATATTCTTGTATTTTTCCCCCCAAATTGCAATTATCTGTAGCAGTAATTTCCTCTTCTTACATATGTCCACCACTTAAGCATCTATTCTCGTAGACTAATATTAGAATACAATTCGGTTAGGTTAGATAGTTGGAATTAAAAGACCATGTCGTTTGCTAACCCATAATGGCTTAAAACCAAGCCAAACATAGTAAAACTTACAGCAAAAAATCACACATCAATAAACAACCCACCATCTATTCTCTAGTTTCAACAGTTTCTTACAGATTGGGAAATAAATCCTTAAATTCAGAGTGGGCTTCAAATAACATATGGGTCTGACTAGCAGCTGAAATGCTAATAAATTCTGATAAGAAGTAAAGTTCCCAAAGTTACAATCCAGGTTATGGAACATGGTTATACTTGTAAAAAAAATCAGAATGAAAATGATTCATAATGGCAAAAATGATAGCCTAGGACTTCACTAAACTGTTGGGCTGATATTTTAAATGTATCTTTCTGAACCTTGGGAAGAAAGTAAAAGATGTAATTTATAATTTTTAAATAGCTAACTTTTTCCTCCCTTGTTAATTGATTGCTCTCTCTTTTGATTTTTCCATCTAACTCAATTACACCAGTTTCCTATACCACGGTGTATATGCAGCTGAGGGTGGTAAGCCTTATAAAGCAAGAAGGATAAAATACTCTTCTTGTATACAACTAATTAAATTTCAGTTCTATTTTTAATTGGTTAAAGCACAATTACTCTGTCCCCTGGCCTAACTGATCTCTGTGATTCACTGGATACCTCAACTTCAAGCCGTGCTGATTTTCATGACTTGCTGGTTATCCATCCATCCATCCATCCATCTATCTCTACACAATCTTCCTTCTATAATTTTCCTATGATATTAGCTAACACTGTTATATGTTCACTATTGCTGTATTCTGTGATAAATTATTTGAGGCCATCAACTTTCTTAATCTTCACATCAGCAGGAAGTAAGATCTATTATTTTGTTAAGTGAGCATAATATGTATTGGTTGAGAGTTCTTTGCTTTTGTTGTTGTTTTGATTTGATTTTGGTTTCTCAGTCATCTTTGCTCTGGCTTGGGTTTTAAACCTTCATGTACCAATGACAATCAGAGTTGTCACTGCCTCATTTACCAGACTGGCCAGGATTAACACCATCCCGGTGGCCTTATTTGAGTTATAGTAGGAAGCCGTTATAAAGCACCATTTTGGAAAATAATGGCAGGTCAAAAGGGATGGTGTCTTAGACAAATTATATTGGAAACGTGTATTTCATTTATTATTGCTATAGTTTGCATGAATAGTTCAGATTCATAAATTTTAATTTAAAATTGTAAGGAAAATATACACTGTAAAAAAGTTTGTTCTGAATAATTATATCATTTTATTTTAAATTGAGCAGAAATGTCTTTATGGGGATTAGAAATAAATGAAGCTTGGATTTGATATGTTTCACTTGTATAAGAACACAAAATTTTTTGAACACAAAATCGTGACTCTAATTATGTAAACCAACATTTGTGCACACTGTATTTGTACCTCACATTACCTTTTGTGCAAGAGCTTTGGCCTTTGACCTGCTAATTTTGCTGCTTTGAGGGACAATGTTTGCTACTCAGACAACATTCATCTAATATTTACTTCAAATAATCTGATAGTTTGTAATTTCTAATGAGACATTTTCTCTAGATAGATTCTCCATAATCGCAATTTTGAGTAGGGAGAATAAACGGCACCTTGATTTTAAATGCTGTCATTCCTAGGAACCATGTATTCTCATCCCACAGGTGGTGTTCCTTTCTACATGATTTCCTCCAAGATGATGAGCTGCAATCCCGAGGAAGACCCGCTGGACACGTTCCTCCAGTACATTGAGGACATGGGGATGAAGGCCTACGATGGCTTGGTTATTCAGAACGCATCAGACATTGCTCGAGAGAACGATCGCTTGAGAAATGAAACGAACCTGGCCTACTTGAAGGAGAAAAACGAAAAACGGCGAAGGCAAGAAGAAGCGATAAAACGGTAAATTTAAACAAAAGTATTCCAAGTGCACAAGGATATCTGTGTGTCTGTCAAGAGGCTGTGATGCTGTCGCCTGGTCAGGAAGGGGCTTGTCAGAGGTAGACATGAGGAGCTAAAGTGGAAATGGCATCTCAGCCATACCATAAACACATCTGTCCTACTGACAGGCCCCTTGCCTTGGTGAACAGAAGTTGTTTTTACCTGTGTGTTGTGTGTATGGAGGTACAGATGGGATGGGGAAAGGTTTCAGCTTCCTGTAAATGAAAGGTCATCCCAAACAATCTCTTGCTTAAAGCACAGATACTTTTAGTAGCCAATGTTTGACTAAAATGCCTAAATTGACTGGTGGCTGTTTATAGTTCTTACCTTGTTACGAGTTCATTTCCTTTCTAAGTTTCCTAGAGGACTGAAGTCCAAAGAAGACTGCTTATCTTTTAATTTTCCAAAGAATGTTTGTGACAGTGTTTCCTGGGGTGTGTGTGTGTGTTTTCCAGGGGTACAGATACTGGCATACTGTGTTTGGCAGAGTTCTGTTTCTTCAAAGAAGTCCATTTACTAAGGACAAAAAAGCAGAATTTAGGAAATTAGTCCATATCAATTAGCTGGATACAGAATAATAAAAATTTAGCTATTCTAAGCATTGGTGGATATTTCATCTAATTCTGGCATTAGTACTTTTGCTTATCTCTCTGTGAATGTTATGGTATTAGAGAAAACAAAAGAATTCTTTTAAAATAAACTATTTATTCTTATAAAGAGGCTAGGTAAGGCTGCTCTACTCCAATGTTTGATGGCCAAAAGCTTTACGTGAGAAGTGGGTAGAGACAGAGAGAAAGTAGTGAAAACATGAAAATAGGTATGTTGTTGCAAAGGATTATTCTGAAAGAGTGCAATCTTTTTATTCTGAACTGTTAAAATGGAAATCTATTCTATTATCAAGGATAAAAATGCTTGCAATATTGTATACTTGAGAAATATTTTCATAATTCAATATATTTATCTTTATGTCATTATATTGTTGAGGGACAATATTGTTTATTTCTACTTAATTTTAGTTGGTATCACAGATTCTTTTCTTGGATACACTAAATGCCCTTTCATTGGGCATTTTTTTCTCTGGGAAGGACTTCTTTGTGTATGTGAGTATTTTACTTTACCTTTATGAGTATGAATTTTCTAAAATTCAAAACAAAAAAAAGGATAGCCCACATGATTTCTAAAGTAATTTCAGCTTTAAAATGGAAAATATCCTGACCAAGGCATTAAAATTTGAGAAAATTCTTTTCTGCAGGCATATAAACCCAGTTCATTCACAGAAGAGTTTCCGTAGACTTTACTAAGAGCTCAAAGTGTGTTTATCACTATACTATCAGCTTCTCTGTTTCACTGATAACCTTAAGAAGGTTTCTAACTAAAGATATTAAGACAGCAAAAGTGCCTTATTTTTGACAGCGTATTTTCAAATGTTCGAAAGGATATAATCAAAACTCAAGGAAATCTGAAGTCCAAGGCAGGGGAACAGGAATAGCAAGTGATACATGCGACATGTGACATCGTTATTGATGCTCAAGCTACAGGGTAAGTTGCATGAGAAGAACGACTCTGTTTTTCTACACAGTTCTTAGAACAGGATCTAAAGCATTTTTATTACTCAATAAATACTTTCTGTTCAATGGATTACTTGATTAGAGAAATGTATGTTGGAACTTTACTAAGTGCCAGGCAGTGTTCTAGACCTCACTGGGAGAACAATGAATGGGCCACAGTTCCTGATGGTAAGGGAACTACTTTTGAGGGAAGATTAAGGAAAGTCAACTCTGAACAAATAAGTATCTATGAATATACATGACAGGTGGTAATGCTTTTTAACACTGTAAAACAAAGTGGTGTAAAGGAGATCAAGACAGAGCTCAGCGGAAGTCCTCTCAAATTAAAAGACATTTGAGACATTGGAAACCTACTGCTGGAGATATGAACCGTATGGCTATCTGTGGGAAAAGAATTCCAGACAGAGGGAACAGCAAGCTCGATGTGTTTCCAGAAGAGGATGAGGGGGTGTTGGGTGACCAACGCAAAGATTTGGGGGATATGATTTCAGACTGGTAGTGGGCCACCAGGTAATGTAGAGCCCGACAAGCTCTTGCACTTCACCCTGAAGGAGAAAAAATATGTTACTGAAGGTTTTTGAGCTGGGGTGTGACATGTTGTAACTGAACATTTTTTAAGAATTACTCTGGTTTCTGGGTGTTTAAATAGATGGATGAGGTATAGCCAAAAGCAAGAAATTCAGAAAGAAAGCTTTTTCAATAATTCAGGTGAGAGATGGTGGTGATTTAGGCTAGGATGATAACACTAGTGGTGGCATAAAATGATGAAACTATGGGTACCATCAGAATTTTCTAATTGATACAAAGGAGTTGAGTAAGAGAGAAGAACTGAAAATGGCTTTCAAGTTTATTGTGTGTTGTTTTGTTATCACCTGAACAACTAGAAGAATGGTGTTTCCACTTAATGAAATGGTAAAGATTAGAAGAGAAGCAAGTTTAGGTTTGATGTTGGTGAAATTGAAGCTCAGTGAAGATATGCCAATTTTGTGAGCCCTTTTGGATGTCAAAGAAGAAAATGCTGGATAGTCGGTTGGATCCAGGATTTAAGGCTTATGGTAGAGATCAAAGCTGGAGATAAAAGTATGAGTCTGTAGTCTATAGATGTCAGTCCTGAACCCAGCTGGGGATCCCTAGAACCCCAAATTAGAGAAAATATAAGAACCCAGGACTGCTCCCTGGGGCATCTAATTGCTAACATGACAGGAGCAGTAGATCAGTAAAAACAGCCCATGAGAAAAGAGAACCACAGAGATGGGTGATGCCATGAAATGAAGTGACAAAAAGGATTGAAGAAGAGAGAGATTTTCCCAATAAATCAAACATGGTGAAGCCTGAGCATTGACTGATGCTTTTTACCGCGCTGGTGGTGTTGACAAGAACAGTTTTGGTGGACGGCTGAGGATGAAACACAGTGAGATTATGTTCATGAGAAGGGGGAAGAGAGAAGGTGAAGCAGAATATAGAAAATTGTACTGAGGACTTTGGAGGTTAAAATTTTTTTCAAAAATATGGAGAGCTGAAGGGAGAAGTCGGATCAATGGTGGTTTTTCTGTTTTTCTTTTTCCTTTAAGAAGAAAGAAAATGAATTTATTGTAAATGCTGATCCAGATGAATATAATAGGAAAGGAAATGTTAATGATGACTTAGGAGACGGAAAGAAAGATTACTGTGATTATGTCACTGAGTAGGTGGGAAGGGATGGGCTCTGAGGCGTCTTAGATGGAGCTGGGACTGCTCAGCATCCTAGGAGAAGGGCTGCCCAGGGTGTGGAGGACTGAAAGATGAATGAACGAATGACTAACCCTGCAAAAGAAGGCCCCAAACTTAGTTCATCATATCCCAAATACTACTGTAATGTTGCTTCCATAGCTGTGACATATGCTAGAGTTTGAAGATGTTACGTGTGTCTTGTTTCTATAACTTCCTACTCTTTCTTACACCTGCACCCCCCTCACACCCAATGTTTTTCTGGAATCTTAAAGTGCAAAAAAATCTTTGGAAAGGACAAACTACTAGGAAATCTTCCTAAATTGTTGAGGCTGCTAGATGCCTTTCTTTCTCAAAAGCAGGCTCCATGTACGATGTGAGGACATGGAAGTCTCTGGATGTGTGTAGTCTGGAAAGAGAAACATCAAAGGAACCAAACAAGTGTTGACTGGTCATGAGATTTAAGGCCTGGCATGACTTTGCAGCAGGGCTGAGGATATCTCAAGTCATCCCATCTCAGTATCCGTTATAATGTCCAAATTCAATTTTACGGTGTTCATATGGTGAACAGTATCTGGGGTTCTGAGAATTTATCTTTTATTTTCTCCTCATAGTACATCTTTGTAATTACTTCAGCTTTCCTAGTAGGAAATAGATTTTTATTATTTTTGAAAACTCCACAGCAACATTCTGGTCCCAAAGACATTTTGAGGTTCTAGGAGTGGCAACAGGAACAAAACATCCACATCTAAATTTAACACATCCTTTTTAATATCTTAGTGTAATTTATGTCCAGTTGTAGAGCAAATTCAGCATGACATTAATGAACACAGCCTAATCAATTAAAATTCTTTAACATGTCTGCTGAATGCTTTCTTAAATATATACTATGATTTGATGTATAGGATATAAATGTTGAAAATCTAAAGATGGGGCATATTTGACCTTGAAAAGACATTAATGATGATTCTCTGTGAAATATGCCAATTGCAATTTCAGAAATCTGCAGACTGCCAAGGATTGCTTAAAAAATGGAAATGGGATTTCATATGATTGACCTTCTGGATCACATATGTGCTGAAATGTCTTTTGTGCAGAAGCTTAAAACACTGAGCTCTTAGGAAAAGAATATCCTCATCACTTGCTCGGTGTTCTAAGTCACTTAGGCTTTCTGAGCCCAGTACCTTCTTTTCAAACTAACTTGAGCCCCTTGTTACTGGCATGACTTTGTACCTTCATTTCCATTTCTCAAATGGGATTTTACTGAAAAGGTTTGTTTTGGGCAAAAAACTCTAAATAAATAAAAAGTGATACTATTAGTGGTTTTCTTAACAGCCTCAAATAACCTATGGTGAGGAAGAAAGAGAAAGACTTAAAGGAGAAAAGTTAATGGAGAATGAAAAAATTATTTCAGTAGCTCACAGGCCTGCCTTGGAAGGTCAGTATTCACAGGTAACACCTTGGTTAGGACATCAAGTAAGGATATTCACTGAGAAGGACGAACATTCAGAAGGTCATCTGGTATGTGGAGATTGCTTCGGTCTGATGCTTCCCTTCAAATGAATTTTTCCTTTCTGAATTCTGCAACACCAGTCCCTGCACTGTCTAATTTTACTATTTACCACAGCATTTTTGAAAGCAACATAGGAAATAAAATAATAAAAAGCAACAAGATAGTACATGTCT